ACCTTCCCAATTGAGAGTGGGATGTTGATTTCTGTTTGGCCTAGTCCCCAGTCTTTTGGAATAGGGCTGTGCTATGGTTACCACCCCAGAGCTTCTCAATATTGTCACATAAGGGAGAGCAACTGATTAAACCAGATGTGACATCCTAGCTACAGTAATACAATTAGCAGTGAGCACAGTTTAGAAAATGACAAACTGTGGTAACTATTAATTTTGTATTTTAGGCTTTAAGAACAAAGTCTATAGTTATATAACAGAACAGATCGCAGATTAGGAGTTTGTATGCAAAGTGCTTCCCCTTGTTAGAGTGTATTTACCCTGGGTTCCTCCAGACGAGCCAGTTGCCATGTCCCATGCTAGCTGCCCATCCTGTAAAGCAGGAGTATGGGCCAGGCACCAGGGTTCCTGTGGACCAAGGTTCCCGCAATGGTAGGGAGGCAGTGGGGTGTTGTTTCTCCCTTCCCAAGTGGCTCCCAGAGGCTCACTGTTGCTCCCACAATAGGGAAGAAGTGAGCCCCTCCTGCGAGGCTCACTTAGGCTCACAGAGGCTCACTATGCTTTGGTTCTGGTATGTTGAACTGGTATTGATTTTAGGAACTGATTTCTTCTTGATTTCTTCTGTGATCCACTAATTACTCAAGACTGTTTTAATCTTCATTTGTTTCCATAATTTCCGTGGTTTCTTTTGCCATTGAGTCTAGTTTCATTGCACAATAATATGGTGATATGCATAGGATAATCTCAGTTCTCTTGCATTTACTTAGGCAATCTTTATGAGTTCATGTATGGTCTATATTAGAGAAAGCTCCATGTGCTGCTAAGAATGTGTGTTCTGTTGTTGGGTGCAACACTCTGTATGTATCTATTAAGTCTATTTGTTCAAAGGTGTGGATCAACTCTGACTTCTTTATATTTTTTTTACCTAGTTCATTTGTTTGTGACAATTGGTAGGAAGGGTCTCCACTATAATTGTGTTGATATTTATCTGATATTTTAATGTTCTTTTTAATGAAATTAGGCACATCCATGCTTGTGTATATACACACTTGTGACTCTTATCTCTTCCTGTTGAACTGTTCCCTTAACCAATACGTAGTGACTTCTTCCCCTCTTCTAATCAGTTTTGGCTTGAATTTCACTTTGTCTGAAAATGGGATAGCTACTACTGCTTGTTTTCAGTCTCCTATTGGATGAAATATTGTTTCCATTCTTTAATTTTTATTCTAGAATTTTTTTTATTAAATGTGCTTGTTATCCAACCCAATCTGTCAGTCTGTCTTTTGATTGAGTAACTGATACCATTCACATTGAGAGTTATTACTAAAAGATAAATTATTCCTGTCATTGCATTATTTTCCTATTGCTAATTTCCATTTTTTTTCTCCTTCTGTTCAGCTGCTCAAACTGCCTAGTATATTTATTAAACTTTTTGGCATTGTTGGGTCTTTTCTCTCTTTCTAGGATATCTTTGAGTATTTTTTGGAGTGCTGATTTGGTGATCATGAATTTCTTAAAATGCTCTTTGTTACAAAAATACTTTATTTCTCCATCAATTTTGAAAGAATTTTGCAGGACATATAAGTCTAGGCTGGAAGTTGTTTTTAGAGCTTGAAGCACTTCTAAGCTCCTCTTACCTTTAAGGTTTGTGTTGAAAAGTCTGTTGTAATTCTAATTGGGTACATGTTATGGTTTGTATCTAGATGTTCCCCTCAAAGCCTCATGTGGTCATAGGTGGAGCTTTTTGGAAGTAGATGATCTAGAGTGTGTGATGCAAGGATTAAGGATGGATGCTAGGATTAAGGGTGCAGTGCTGGCATTAAGGATGCAGCAACCAGAGTCTGAGTACCCTGGATGGAATATAAGGGATAGAAAGGAGGTTTCCTGCTGCTTTGCTACTTCGCTGCTGGCTGCCTTCTGCCTGCCTGACTTTGCCATGAACCATTTCTCCTCTCTGATATCCCTCTGCCATGCCACCCTGCCTTGAAGCCAGCTGACTATGGACTAAAATCTACAAACTGTGAGCTCAAGTAAACCTTTCCTCCTTTAAGTTGTGGGTGTTGGGTATTTTGTCTGAGCAATGAGTAAAGTGACAAAGATACAGGAAAAACAACAAATCACTTATAAAAGTATTAATCTTTTGAGATTTTGCCCTTGTGTAGGAATTCTGGGATTTTGACTATGATATGTTGTAAAGCTGTTTTCTAATCATGCCTATTTGACATTCTATATGCCTCAATCACTGTAAGTTGAGTTCTTTTCCCACCTTTGAGAAGTTTTCTATTATTTCTGTAAACAGGTTATTTATGCCCTTTGTGTGGTCCTGATTTTGCATTAATTCTAATTAATCTTAGTCTTCTTTGTGTCATCTAGGGGCTACTGAATCCATCTGAGTTGTTTACTTGTAGTTTTTAAGGTATCTCTAAGTATATGGTCACTTACATACACCATGTCTTCTACTTCTGCCACTGCCCATATATTCAATACAATTTTTTATCTCCTAAATTTCCATTTAGTACCTATTCAAGGATCCTAATTCTTTACCAAACTGGTCATTCATGTTCAGTATTGTTTTATCTCAGCTATCTATTTATTAAGGTCTTCTGTAAGCTCACTAGCCTTTTTTAAAGCCCAGTATTTGTTTTAAATATGTCATGTTTGAGTTTACCAAGCACTTTTTTTGTCTCTTTGTCTCCTCTTATTTCATATAATTCGACTGCTTGGTGTTTTATTCCCCCCGCCATCAATGCCCCATGGATCAGCCATGGGGGACTTAGGGGTTTTGGAGTTATGTTGCTGCCTTGTCTTCTAACATTTCCATTGTTTTTGGTTTTACTATTGTTTTGTGCTCAGGTTGTAGGCTGACATTAGTGGAAAGACTCTGTTGGTAGTACAGCAATCTTTTCAGTGTCTTTTCAGTGATGCATGCTGGGCATGGCTAACTATAGGCCTCTGCCTCTGTCCTAAGATCCAACCACCTCCATTACTTTGAGAGAAAAGAATACTGTGCAACTGGCCTAGGGCCCAGCTCTCCAGAAACAAGCCACAGTATTGTCGATGACACAAAGACAATCCAGATATTGGCATACAGAGAAACAACTAGCCATAAAATCAGCAATAGTAATAGAGTCAAAGACATATTAAATACAGGCATAGCATAAAAACCATTAAAAGTTACAACTGTACAACCTTTAACCATGGAAAAGAGATCTGTAATTATAATAGGCACAAAGACAAACCAAAATTGACATAAAGTATCTACTAAATGCTACACTATTAACAATAGAAAAGAATTAAAAAATGGATAGCATAAAGTTAACTAAATATCTAAAGATTAATAAAGCTTAACAGTAATACTAGTAAACACAGAGGGGGTGGGAAATGGGAAAATGAAAGTAAAATTTGAATGATGAGGAAGATGAGAAGGTATGAAAAGTGAGATAAAAGATTCTATTAAAGGAGTAAAAGAAAGTTAGTAGAACTTGACCAAAGTAACAGAAAAAAACAAAGAAGAAAATTAAAAGCAAAGAAAAAAGAAAGGACAAAGGAAAAGGAAAGAAATCTAACTCCCCAATGAAGAAAAAAAATGAGTTAAAAAAATTCCTCTGTGTTTTTTGAATGAGTGGTTTCTTTCCACAGTCTGCAGTATTAGAACCCACCAGGTATGGGGTGAGTGGTGAGTCACTACTAAGCCCTATTTTGTTCCCATACTTGCATTTTTGGGTATAGATGCTGAACCCTGCCCTGCCTCTCCTACTGGGCAGGGTTGGTCAATGGAGTCTGACCTAGGGCTCTACACACTCTGGCCATGGCCACTTTTTGTGTTGATATGTGCCCTGTAAGTCATGGTTTTCCCTGCTTAGCTTTAAGAACTGTGTGTTGTGAGGTGCTCCCTTAGAAGCTCTTCCGTCTGCACACTTGAAGCTGCAGCAATGATCCACCCCAGGGTATATCACTTGTGTCACCAGAGACAGATCTCTGGGGAGGTCAGCTTTCTAGATTGCTTTGTTCTGTTCTCTGCATTGTGTTCTGTTTTTCCAGCCTCTCTGTAGTTTCTAGTTTTGTTGTTTATTGCTGGTTTATCCGTCAGCTTCTCCTGATACCAGGAGATCTATTATTTTTTTTTCTCTTCACCAAGTTATTGTTTTCCTTTTGATTCCAGGTCCAGAGAGGCTGTATCACTTGCTACATTCTCAAGTAGACTGGAAGTCCTCTTTCATGAGTGTCTTAAACTGTGCTTTCCTGGCTACCTCCATGTCCTGAATCAATTCAAAACATTTACTTTTCATGGTCATTTTGATTTTGGGGAATACTCAGAGGTCTTATGATGCCAGACCCAGTCAGTCAGGTGGGTGAGGACACACCCACTTGAATGCTTTTATGAGCCTGCCTATCTGTTGGATGACAATCAGCAGCAACGTTCACCATATTTTTTATCATTCCTTTTAAGGATACTCATAAGAGATTTAACAGAACTGCTTCCGAAAAGTGACAAAGTCAGGCGTGGTGGCGCACGCCTGCAATTCCAGCACTCAGGAGGCTGAGGCAGGAGGATTGTTGCAAGTTTGAGACTAGCCTGGGCTACAAAGTGAGCTCAAGGCCAGCCTGAACTGCACAGTGAGACTCTGTCTCAAAAAGATAAAAAAAAAAAAAGTAACAAGAACAATGGATGGGACACGTATGCTCAAAGTTGGAGTATTTTGAGGGAGGTTAATGGCAATGTGTCTTTTACTGTAATAAAGTTTCCTAAATTTAAACATTCACTATATATTTTGATTGTCACTTGTATCAATAATAGCCTATTGTTTAAGACATTTGAGATACTAAATTTACCTTTATCACAATATTTGTGAGCAATAAATTATACCACAGTCTTCCCAAATTAGTTCTGCCAATGAAGTAGTACTTTAAAAACCAAAAACCCTGTCACCATTCTCTTTGGTGATGCCCTTTGGTGAGTCCCTCTTTGGACTGTCTGAAACAGTCACCTTCAGGCCACTCACCTGACATGGTGGTGTGGGTCTTGGCACCACCAAGCTCCTCCTGGGTAACATCCTCATTGGTGACAGACTTCACCACATCAGGGCCAGTGATAAACAGGTAAGAGGTGTCCTGAAATCAGATTTCCAGAACAGTCAGTGCCAGATCACCAGAGCTGCACAGGCTTAGAGTCTGCTCAGCAAGAAGAAAAATGCAGAGAAGGCTAACACTTACCTGGCTCAAAGCTACCTATCCAAACTAAAGACTCAAGTTTTCCAGGTCTCATTGTCTACTTAAAAATAAAATCTTTGTTGCATGGTTCTACCTCAGCAAGTTAACATGCAGTGCAGTTAGCACCTCAGGGTCACTCATCTACCAAACACTGTAACACAGGGCCACGACAACCTTCTGTGTACCAAGCACTTCCCTAAGCACTTCATGGAATTGTGTAATTAAAACCTAGATACTATTATCACCCCCTTTACACATAGGGAAACAGAGGCACCAAGATGATAGGTACTCCACCATTGTAAGTGAAGCCACTTTAAAGACACTGATATCAGTGCTTCAGTATTATGAGAAAGGGTGACAGGCTTTTAATTTTCAGTTTCTAATTCACAGGTAATAAGGCATATAATAAAAGAAATTATGCAGAAGAGCAGGCAACACTGCAGAAAGTAAGTCTATATTTCAGCCCTTACTTCCAAGCTTCCACCCCTTCTCCTCTATGAAACAAACACAGTTTCTTACCTATTTTTACAAAATATTCATGCATATACGAGCACGTATTTTTCTCATCCTCTAATAAAACAGTTCCTTTTCAACTCAAATACTTTTTCTGTAACACAATCACTTTTCTTATGAACACTTATTCTCAAATTCACTTATTTTAAAACAATACTACAGCTTACAAATCACTTCATATCAGTATAGTAGCATATGTACCATAAGTGAACCACCACCTAGGGATGGTCGCTTAGATTGTTTCCAGTACTGTACTAGTATGCACTTTTGCAATAAATAACTTAATATAATCCCCTCTAGACTCTGCGTATATATCTGCTCATTTTTTAAATGATAGTTTGCATTTTATACCATCAGGGTTTGTGTCTAGATGTCCCCCCCAAAACCCTCATGAATTCGTGGGGGGTGGGCTTTTCAAAGGCAGCTGAATCTAGAGTTTATGATTGATTCATGGTGCAATGCTGGAATTAAGGGTGTGAGTGTTACACCCGCTCTAGGGCAGGTAGCTTGAATACAACATAAGGGAGAGAAACAGGCATGTCCCTTCCTTCTCTTCCTTGCTTTTGCTGTCTGCTATTGCCATGAACTGTTGCCCTCTGCCATGTGCCACCCTGCCATGAAGCCAGGTGATTATGGACTGAAACCTCCACAAAGTTTGAGCTAAGAAAAACCTTTCCTCCTTAAACTTTAGGAATCAGATATTTTGTCTCAGCAATGAGAAAAGTAACTAAGACCTATACTAAGGAAATTAATCTAAGGTCTATCAATTTTTTCTCTTATGGCTCTTTCTTTGGGGTCTTGTTAGAAAACATCTAGCTAGAAAGGCCTCCCCCACTCCACAAAAAGATTTCTAAATTAGCGTTCATAGCAGCATTATTTATAACAATTAAAAAACTTGAACTAGCCAGCCTAGCATGTAAGAAACTGAACAAGTTTTTACTACTAAGTAAAAAGCTGAACAAACTGAAAAAAATCAACAGCTTTTAGATCCAGAGAGCTGAGGTCACTCCAAAATTAGCAGCCTGACAGGCAGTGCAGAGAATTCATTCTTGCCAGAGCAGAAACTACTAAGTACAAATACCCACAGGAGCCAGGGCTGATGCAAGGAAAGCCGAGCCATACCTGGTAGGTTACTAGAGGTCAGTGTGGACACTCTGAGAGATAACTCCACAAGGCCCTAGTCGTGAGGAATCTCACACTTTCATGAGTTTTACCTTCAGTAATTTGACCAAAGTCAGTGACCACTGGAGAAGAATTTTATTATGGTTTCAATCTAGAATGTCCTCCAGAAGTCCTATGTGTTTAGAGATGGGCTGTTGGAAGGTACTTGGATTGTGCAGGCACTGTTAACCCCCTAATTAATACATAGCTCAGTGTGCTGTCAGGAGGAGGGTCACGGAGGTGTGACGTGGAAGGGTGCATCTCTTGCCCTGGCTCCTCTCTTCTCTCTGCTTCCTGGCTGCCATGACATGAGCCGAATTTCCTCTGCCACACCCCTCTGCCATGCTGTTTCTGCCTTGAAGCCAGGCAACCGTGGACTGAAACTGAGTCAAAATAATCGTCTCCTCCTTTGCATTGTGGGAGTTGGGTGTTGTTTTCTGCAACAGGGAAATGACTAAAATAAACTCCCTCTTGCTTCTGGCATGGAGAGGGAAAAAGGGACCATTTCAAAGAGCACCAGAGCACTCTGTTCTTATCAACACTATTTAATGATTTAGAACCTAAGCTGCTGGAGTTTCCCTAGAGATTGACCTCAGGAAAGAAAAACACCCAACTCCTCCCATGTAGGAGAAGGGATACATATTCAAGTCCAGCCCACTCTAGCCATCCTGTTCCACCAAAGGAGGTACAAGGGGAGGGCACTGGGAAGTACAGGTGAGGCCACAACCCAGAGGAACAAATTCACGAAAAGACTGAGATCTACTCAGAGGACTAAAATACACTTCCCTCCCCTCAGACCTGACAACCACATTTCTAAAGGCTATTGACAACAGTTCCTGCCATTCAGTTTATCACATCAGCTCTCAAGAAAACAGTATGATATATGCAAAGACAAAAAACACAAGGTGAAGAACCAAAAAAAACCATTTCAAGCAGAATCAGGTAAGATGAGATATTTAAAACACTCTGATTAAGATACTGAGTTCTCTAGCACTTAGAAGGCTGAGGCAGGAGGATCGCTGTAAGTTCTAGACCAGCCTGGGCTACACAGCAAGACATTATCTCAAAATAATAATAATAACAATAATAATAATAATAATGATATACTAAGAGTTCTCAAGGATAAAGTAGACCACATTTGGGGCTGGGGATTTAGCTCAGCGGCAAAAGCACCTGCCTGGCAAGCGCAAGGTCGTGAGTTCAGTTCCCGGTACCGGAGAAAAACCAAAAAAAAAAAAAAGTAGACCACATTCAAGAACAGGTATACAGTATAAGCAGAGAAATGAAAATTCTAAGAAAGAACCAAAAGAAATACTATGGTAGTTTTAAGCCCAGCCCAACCTGGACAACTAAGAGAAACCCTGTCCCAAAATAAATGGAAAGGGCTGGGGGAGTAGCTCAGCAACTGAGCACTTGTCATCATGCACAATATCCTGGGTTTGAACTCCAGCACTGGAAAGAAAAAAAACAAACAAAAAAAAAAGGAATACTATAAACAACTCCATGCCCACACAGACAAATGGATCGATTCCCTGAAAGAAAATCTGTCACAATCCACATAAGGAAATAATTTAATAGTCTATTCAGATTTTTTAAAGAAATTGGTAACTAATAGCCTTCCAATACAGAAAGCATTAGGTGCAGGTAAGTTTTACTGGCGAATTCTGCCAAACATTTAAGGAAAAAAGTAATTCTTCCTTTTTTGAGTGAAGAGGAATTGCCTTGAGACACATATAAAATATATACTTAATAGTGAATGTAGTCACAAAATATTCTTTTAAAAATACTATTATTAAAAAATAAATAAAAATAAAAATACTTTTATTGTAATATTTTCAAAGGGAGGCAAAATAAGGTGGGCTGCTGGTCAGGCATGTCTGCCTAAAAACGCTTTAGGACAGAGACAGGAAATACCTCCTAACTCATTCTGTGAGGCCAGCATTAACCAAATACCAAAACTAGACAGGGAAAGTACAAGAAAAGTCTCATGAATGCAAATGCAAAACTCCCTGATGAAAAGTTAGAAAATCAAGAATGATGAGCCATGCATGGTGGGAGATATCTATAATCCCAGCATTCTGGGACGCTGAGATAGGAAGATGACAAGTTTGAACCCAGCTTAGACAAGACAGAGACAGAGAGAAAGAGACAGAGAGAGACAGAGAGAAAATACTGGGTATAAAACTCAGTGTAAAGGCCCTGGATTCATTCCCAGTATCACTAAAAAATAAACACATACATATACATACACATACAGTGTATGGTGTGTGTGTGTGTGTGTGTGTGTGTGTGTGTATGAGAGACAGAGGTACATATCAACATTGTATTTTAGAAGTTTTAACACATACAATAAGACAGGGTATAAAACATACAAAGATTGAGAAGGAAGAAATCAAACTGTCTGTGTTCTCATATAGCATAACTACGTTACTCAGATTTTTGTTGCTGAGATAAACTAGCTGACAGGAAGAAAGGTTCACCTTAGCTCACAGTTTCAGAGGTTTCAGTCCATGGTCTACTGGCCACAAAGAGGAACACCATGGTGAAAGGGCATGGCGGAGGGAAGCTGCTTAGTTCAAGGCAGCTGAGAAACAGAGAGCAAGGAAGACCCAGAGAGAAGATAAAGCCTTCAAAGGCCCACTCCCAGTAACATACTTCCTTCAGCCAGGCCCCATCTCTGACAGTCCACTTGGCTCTGCACTCATCAATAGGTTAATTCAGTAGTCAGGTTAGCACCCTCCAAGTCCAAGCACCTTCGGAAAGCCCCATCTCTGAACATATGAGACTTCTAGGGGACATTTTTGATCCTAATCATAACATAATCATCAGTGCAGTCTATGCCATACCACCCTGAACACACCCGATCTCATCTGATCTCAGAAGCTAAGCAGGGTTGGTCCTGGTTAGTACTTGGATAAGGAGACCAACCATAACCTTATCATCAGTGCAGAAAATCTGAAAGAATTGACAAAAAAAATTCTGTAATTAGTGATTTCAGCCGTGCTACAAGATACAAGGATAATATACAACATAACCAGAAATGAGTAAGTGGAATTTAAAATTAAAAAACATGTACCACTTCCATTAGCACCCCCAATACTGAGATACTTGGGTATAAATCTAACAAAATACATATAGGCTCTAACAAAATATGTATAGAATAACTGCAAAATTCTGATGAGAGAAATAAAAGAACCAAATAAATGGAGATATTCCAAGTTCAAAGA